AATTCTTTCAAATTCTCAAAATATTTCATTTCCTTTTATCAATGTTGTAAATTCATCATAATTAAAAATACCATTTCCTGCAGATCACCGTAACGAACAAAGTGGTGATTAAACGAATTGCTGATGAATACCGGTAATGTGAGAGGATGGGCATTAAAATGGAGTAATTGCAAACTACGGATCAATTCTTCATTTCATTCATAAAAATAAAAGAATGCACTGCTGTACAAGGTTACGAATAGGTGTTCCTTCTCATTGATAGTACATCTGAGCAGTAACTCAACAACCATTTTGTTGTGTTAATGAGCTCAGTGCACGATAAGCTGTTATAGCAGCGTACAAGCAACAAAGTATAAACAGCCCAAATTATGCTTACCAGGTGTGCAATATTTTTGTTATGTCAAATTAGACGTACCGATTTACGTAATTAGCATTTATAATTTTTAGAAGGTACAAAAGCCTTTGCACCGCAATGGTTCGTCCCTCTGCATGCTAATGTCCATCAGGTATGGTTTATCCTAACGGAAAAGTAGCAATAGTGCGGTATTTGTAGCAGATGTAAATCCCAGCAAAGGGGTCTCTCCACGACCACGAGAGGTGTCCCTAAATGGGCGTAGTAATACAACACCGGTCTCGTTCTCTAAGTCAGAAAACTTTGCACGTAAATAAGCACTGATCATTCTCAAAAATACTAAAATTGGTGTAATTTGGTCTCTTCATCGTGATTTTGTTCCGTGCTGTTTCCATCCCTAGCTTAGACTCGTTTCGGTTGTACTGCTGCTCACATACTGTGCCTCAACAAAGCTGTCCCTTGAAAATGAGCCCTCAATCGAACCTGTCCACAATTTTTACATTTTTATCCTCGCCTTGCTCTGAAATGCAAGGCATTCTTGCATGTTCTACGCGTGCTAGCAGATATTCCCAAGCCAAGCAGCTTTCTGTTAGATTTACTGCCCGCTCCTCTATGCCACCGCTATCGGTGAGCACAGCAAATCAATGCCTGCCCGTTTGCAGAATGCAGCATTACGTTACCGTATCGGAGCAGGCCACATGATTCTACGTGTTCATCGCCATGCATCCGTTTGTCCGTCCATAACCAAGAATTACGGTTCATCAAGTGCGCAGCAGTCCGGAGAAAGAGGTATTACGTTACGAGCAGCTCGTGTTAGCGCTGGTCGTACTAACACAGCTGCCTCAGCACAGCTAAACCGTTATAAAACTTCAAATTTACTCATCATCCGTTCTGTCACACGCGTGAAACACCCATCCCCACACGGTACCCTTTGCCACCATCATATCAGCACCCTGTAGACCCAAAACCATCACTGCCCCTCACGCTCTCTTCAAGCTCCTCAACCACATCAAACTCCGGCACCACAATCTTAAAGAACACGCACTCGCCCACACACTCATCCTGTTCCACAACAACTGCCTCGTCACTCACGTTAAACACAATTAACGACAGCTCACCACGGTAATCGCTATCAACCACACCGCCCAAACCAACCAACGGCGACTTGCTAGCGGTTAGGAACATGAAGTACTCCTTAGGAAACGCAGTCTGCATGTTTAAAGGGATCAGCGCTGATTTGTGAGCACCGATGACGGACCGAGCGGGTGAGAACAGTTTGTGCGAGTGGTTGGTCCGTTGTGGCAGGGTTGTTGCTGAAGAGTGCAGTTTGAACATAGGGGCATGAAAAACTGCACCTTTTGCCGAACGTGGAGGGTGCCGTGAAAGGAATGTGCGTGACAGGATGAGTGTTTGACGGGTAAAACGAAAGGAATGCATTGTTGGGTGGTGGAACGATCAAAGTATCATGGCTGAGCATGTGATCGGTAAAAACGGGCAAGTTGCGCCGAGAGAAGGAGCAGGGTTGATGAATCATAAATCGCATTTCGTATGAAAAGGATTGCAAGGTCATCACACAGCTTGAATGATGTTGTACTTGAAAAATAAATAATTTGTTTTTGGTAAAGGGGACCATCACTGGTGGTGGACTGTTAGGGAAGTAAATGGATCAAAGAGCTTGTTTAGCCACAGCTTCGAAAGAACAAACGTGGCGTGCTGGCGGTGCGCCCCTGTTCGGATGGCGTGCGTTGAAAGTGGCAGATAAACGTACTCGCAGAAAAAAGTAGACCTCCAAACAACCACACATCATAAAACAGCTGGCACACCGTGATCAGCCTTCAATCACCCCAAACATGCTCTGAAACAAAACAATCACAGATCAAACACATAAAAGCGCACAGATCGCGCTTGCCATGCCAAAAATGACTGACACCGTATTTCTATTCGATGTGGACGGCACGCTAACACCATCTCGCAAGAAAATCACGCCTGAAATGTTCAACTTCCTTCGCGAGCTGCGCAAGGACGTGTACATAGCATTCGTGGGTGGCAGCAACCTGGAAAAGCAGCAGGAGCAGGTCTGCCCCGAGATACTTTCGCTGTTCGACTATTCGTTTCCCGAGAACGGCCTGAGCTTCTACCGTGGTACCGAACTGGTGAGCAAGCAGGGCATCAACGATTTTCTGGGCGAGGAGATCCTGCAAAATTTCGTGAACTTCTGCTTGCATTACATGAGCAACATCAAACTGCCTGTAAAACGCGGTTTGTTCGTTGAGATGCGCGATTCAATGGTGAATATATCGCCTGTGGGCCGTAACTGCAACGATGAGGAGCGCCAGCAGTTCTTTGAGTATGACAAGGAGCACAAGATACGAGAGAACATGGTGCAGGTGCTCAAGAAGGAATTCGGCAAGTATAACATGCACTTCTCCATAGGCGGGCAGATCAGCATCGATTGCTTTCCTACCGGATGGGACAAGCGGTACTGCCTGCAGCATTTGGAGAGTGAAGGCATCAAGAACGTGTACTTCTTCGGGGACATGGTGCATGAGGGCGGGAACGACTACGAGATATTTGAGGATGATAGGGTTGTAGGTGTGGCTGTGTGCGCACCACAGGACACACTGGTAAAATGCAAGGAGATACTTGCAGAGATCAAGCTTGAGCACAGCATAAAGGAGTAAAGCTGCAGTTTGCATGTTTTGATTTATTGCCAATCTTAAATACCAATTTTATACTTTCCACTCGTAATATAGCAATTCTCATTTATGCAAAGCATAAATACCGTAATGCCAACACAGACATCAATCACGCGTGTAAGCAATAGCAAGCACCAACCGTATACCACCCCATATCGCAACAACACCTCATATACCGTTCTATAGGGCAAATCGCTCTTCAACAGTCCCGTACTTCATCCCGCCGCATTACCTCGTACACAAATCCTTTTATTTAAATGCTCCGCTAAGCACAGCCGTACCCAAGGAGCGTTCCCATCATGTGCCACATAATTTACTGAATCCATCACACCGCACTAATCAGTACCACAGCCATTATTTTTCCTACACCACAACAAAATACGATCCGTACACAATGCTCTACACCACGCTCCTCATCCCACACTTCGCGCCCAATCACCCGCTCCCAAACAAATACTCAATAATCTTCACCAAAACTCCTTTTTTCCTGACAAAGCACTCACCAACAGCCCCCCATCGCTCTCGAAACACCCCTACCATCTCTCCACCCACCATCTTCCTATTGTACTCCATCAATCGCTCGTACCCACACTCATCATCATAGCTAATTCTCATGTAATTGCTGTTGTACTCGATGTCCGTTACGTTGCCACAGCGTTTTACGAGCGCTATTACGTTTTGGTGGTTGGCAGCGGAGTAACCGAATATTGTTACCTTTTCGGACGATTTGTTTTTGGCCGGATGGTTTTGGACGGCCTGTATGCTTGTCTGGGGGATGCGTACCGGTTTTGATGGCGATTTTTGCTGGGTGGTTGTGTGGTGAAAGAAGCTGTGGTGGAAGGTGTTGTCTGCCATGAAGGGATGCAAAAACGAAGAAAAATAAATTGTGAGGAGCGATTGGTGGGGTGGAGAGGTAACTGAGGAATAAAAACGGAACGAACATTCAACGAAAAACAAAGCATAGCACCTGCAACGATGCAAATGAACTGCTAAGACTGGTCCGGTAACAACCGTGGATGAACATAACCAAACTGTGCCGTGCCTTGAAGGGCTGAACGAGCAACACCAGAAATACTTTCTTCTGGTCCGTGCCCGGTTTGTAAAAAATTAAAAATACGTGGCAGGCACAGCAATTCCTCCCTCAGAAACGCATGCCTTGATAATGGTAAGGTGTGTTTATGCAATCTACAAATTACTCTTTAATTATCTGCTGCGTGATTGGCACGGAGGGGCAACGATCCTACATTTATAAATCGCTTGTTGTACCCCACCCAAATTAACCTGCCTTACAATTCGTAAAACAACTTCTTACCGCTGTTTAACGTGAACACTTCGCCTTATGCTGACGAGGTAATGACTTGTATTTAAAGGTACATCCACCCGTACGAACACGCCGGTCTCACACGGTTCAAATCACATGTCTTTAAATCACTCCACAAACTAAAACAAACACTAAAATTGTTTACCTCTCATACTTATTCTTCGTCTTATCATTCCCCGTTTTGTAGATGCAACAGCACTTACTTTTCTTCTTCCCCATGTGCTCGTTGTCCACCGTATCGGGTGTAAACGTAACTCTCCGTCTTACAAGGCGTAACGTGCGCGTACGCGTACGCGGTTTCTTCAGTTTTAGGACCGTTCTTGTTATTTGCATGGGGTAGTTTTATGCGATTGCTTAAAGCGTTTTGGTAAAACGCGGCCATGCACTGCTGGGGCAGTGAAGCGCTTTTACGTGCTTGGACAGGACGGAGCATAGATGTACATAAAAGATGAGAAATATTTTTCAATTAATATTTTTGTTCGTAGGAGTACTTTAAATTATATGTTTTCTAAAATATTATTCTCTTTACTATCATTCGCTACTCATTCATCTTCCTTATCCTCACAATAATATCCTTACCACTCAGCATTGGCTGCTTACGTCTATTTCTTCTTATCTTCGCTCTTCTGTCCCCCTTTATACATTTTACCTCCTTTTCTTGCTTATCAGGTACATTACGTGTTAAAATATCCGGCCGAATTTTATTTATGCGTTGACGGAGTGCCTTTAATCTTTTTTCTCGTCTTGTTGGGTATTTATGCATTAACATGGTTTATTTGACGAGAGCAATGAGAACTGGGGCTACAAAAGTTATTAATTATATATCATTCATTCAAATATATAGAGAGACAACTCGAAAGCTGATTGGTAAGTTTGAAAAGAATAAATTACTTGACCTTTCATAGGAAATCAAAGTTATTCTTTCTTATTTTTATGCGAAATAAATAGTTAAAAGTTATTATTTGATTCGTTTTTACAATATTTGTTCAGCCATTCCTTGCAAACAACATCAGAATTACATGATTACCAAATGAAATCAACTATTGGCCCCTACCAAAAAATCTAAAACAAATGAAAAAGAATGGTATGACATATGAAAAGAAGGAAATACCGTTTAATAGCTAATCGGGCTTTATTTTGTTTTGTTAACGGAAATATCGTAGTTAATATTACCATAATATTGCAAATATAGTTTGGTTTTTTCACCAATACTCGTTTATTTATCTCCTCATACAACAACACCGAGATAAACATACTTTTCAGATTTGTAGGGATCGTTCACAGTGCCATAAGAAAGGAAAGGGCCATTAAAAGTGGTGTAGAAGGGCGTGCCTAGCCATAAACTGTTCAAAACAATCTTGTCATGTCAACGCAGAATAAGTTATTTTCATGGCGTACACAAACACCTTGTAGAACGAATGCATCTACCAACGCCATTTTCTTCGCTAGGCCCTTATCATCC